GCATCTAAGTGCATTATTCAAATGAGCGGAATGAGTTCCAAATGGCAAGTTCTATGGTAAAACAATGCTTGTAGGAAAGTTCGGATGAATCAGAACAAAGCGTGGGCATTGCTTCGTGACTTCCTAACAGCGGAAAACCTGGAAAATTTTAAGCAGGTCAAACTGTAGGTAAGAAGAATACGCAGACAAGCCAGACGAAAGAACTGGACGAACTTCATTACGAGCATCGACTCGTACACAGATAAAGGTAAAATGTGAAACAAGGTCTAGAAAATTAAAGGCCAACATACATTCTCTCCCATTAGTAAATACCCTCGGGGAAGTTTGGAGGACCAAGCCAATTTTTTTGGTGCACATTTTGAAAATATATGGAGCTCCTCACACTACTCTGACGCATTCCAAAAGTGAAAAGCACGCTTATAACAACAAAACCTAGAAAGAAAATCTAAAAAAAACTGAGGCTTACAACGAGCCTTTCTGCTTAGCAGAATTGCAGAGCACTGAACTGTTGTAACATATCTTCTCAAGATTTTGACTGCATAATGTATGAGATGCTAAAGCAACTACGTTTCGAAACGCAAAAAACCTTCCTTTCTTTTTACAATATTATATGGTTTTTTGGTGCGATCCTCTCTTCTTGGAAGGAAGCTGTTTAAATTCCAATTTTGAAGCAGGATCAGGATCCTTCAACTGCATCAAATTACAGGCCTATAGCGTTAACAAGTTGCATTTGTAATGTCTTTGAAAAAATAATTAATTGCCACCTACTCCACTTCTTAGAATCAAACAAACTGCTAGACCCATACCAGTGCGGGTTTATAGAAGGCCGATCCACCACCAATGATCTCATATGGATTGAGGCACGCATACGTGAAGCTTTTGTTCATAACCAGCTTTTTCTATCTGTATTCCTTAACATGGAGAAGGCTTATGATACGGCGTGGAAGTTTGGGATATTGAGAGACCTCTCGCATATAGGTATAGGTGGTAATATGCTCAATATTATCGAAAGTTATCTGTCTGATCGTATATTCCACGTTCGAGTTGGCAAGTTCTTGTTTTGAACATTTGTACAGGAAACCGGAGTGCCACAAGGTGGGGTACTGAGCTCCACACTCTTTATTATAAATATGAGCTCTCTTCGTCTGTACATCCTTCATAACATATTTTACTCTGCATATGTTGATGACATTAGGATAGCTTTTCAATCGTGTTCCCTCAGAATCTGTGAGCAACAGGTTCAGCTTGCTCTAAACAAAGTGTCTACATGGGCTGAAGAAAATGGGTTCAAAGTCAACGCACAAAAAAACACATCTGTCCTGTTTGCATGGAAAAAGGCTTGTACCCTGATCCTCGGATTGTCATGAAGGGCAAACATCTGCCTGTAAACACAGAACATAAGTTCCTAGGTATAATCTCGGATGAGAAACTAACGTTCGATGACATATCAAACATTTTAAAAATAAATGCATGAAAACAATGAATATCCTGAAGGTACTGTCGCACACATCCTGGGGCAGCGACAAAAAGTGCTTCATGAATCTGCACGAAAGCCTTGTGCGTTCACGCCTTGACTATGGTCTACCATTCAGCCTTGCCAAGGGCTCTGAAAATGTTGGACCCTGTTCATCATCTAGGCATCCGGCTTTCCACAGGCACCTTTAGAACAAGCCCAGTTGAAAGCCTCTATGTAGAATCAAACGAGTGGTCACTCCATCTACAGAGAACATATTTGTCCTTTACGTATTTCCTAAAAGTGAATGCAAACAGTGAGCAGCTCACATATTCCACCATCAACAACTTGTCCAGTGCTCAACTTTTTTGCAATCGGCCCACATTGCCGCGCCCTTTCTCGCTGTGCATTAGAGAGTTGGCTGAAGAAACAAATGTCTCGCTGCTTCAACGCCTTATTCCTCTTGCGATGCAACTCTCACCGTGGCAGTGACGGCTTGTAGGGTGTGATAGATCTTTCTTAGAAGTAACAAAACATGCGCCTATTGTACATATATGTACATATTTTCACGAATTGTAGTTCAAATACACTTGTCCAGAATTCTACACTGACGCCTCCAAAACTCACAATCCTGTGTCCTATGCTGCAATCGGCCCATTCTTTTCAGATTCTGGTGCTCTGCATCCCAATACAAGCATTTTTACTGCAGAGGCCTATGCTATATTTGTAGCAGTCAAATGCATCAAAGAATTAAAACTACAAAAAGCAGTAATATACTCTGACTCCCTGAGTTGGCTAAAAGTGCTGAAAACCCTGAAAAAACATGAAAATTCTGTCCTTGTCTCACTTTACTCACTCTTATGCACAGTCTACACACTGAAACAGCATGTCGTGGCTTGCTGGGTGCCAGGGCACTGCGAAATAAGGGCAAATGTATTGGCGGACCAGCTTGCTGCATCTGTCCATGAAAACGCTGCTGATACTTCCCTAGCTGTCCCTCCACTATAGACAAAAAAACCCTGGTAAAATGAAAACTCAGAGCATATTGGCAGCGTTTATGGGACACACAAACACAAAATAAGCTACATGTCGTCAAGCCAAACCTTGAAGACTGGCCAGCAGTATCCAAGTCGCGCCGTACACAAGTAACATTTACGAGGCTATGATTAGTGCACACACACAGTACACATGCACATCTCTCTGATGGTGATCCACCCATGTGCGACAAATGTGGTGAACCCCGTACTGTCCTTTCATATATTAATACAATACAGTGAACTAGACCCTATTAGAAAAAACATTTCTCATTACCCTACCGAGAGCAAATGCCACTCCATTCAGCGATGTTCATTGGTAGGGGTCCTTTTTTTAGCCTTGAATCACTCTCAACTTTTTAAAAAGATGTTCAATCTTTTCACGTGATTTACCCTGGTAATTTGAAGCACGATCTCTGAACGGAGACCACTGCTGTGGTAGATGCATCACAAGAAGCACCTGACTCATGGCCCTTGGAAACAAAGGCGTTTCATGAGAAGTGTTCGTACTGCCTCTTCAAAGCTTTTAATATATCACAGCCTTTTCCTGGTCATTTTCGCTACACACATTACATGTCACAGTCATGATTTTAATACTTGTATGTTTTACCCGCTTTTACAGGGAGGAATTCTAGGCCCGTATACAGACACTGAATGTATCCACTGTTGACGTTCATCGCTATGTACTGGCACTCTTTGGCTGCCAAATGGCCCTTGCACCAATAAAAAAAAGAAAAACAGTAAAAGGGGGGACTAATGAACATTACATAATAAAATAGGTGTGCCTGCAGTTGCTGTAATGTTGTGAAGTCTTGGACATGTTAGAAATCTAATGTGATCAGAAATGTAAATTTCTGAATAAATTTTTTATTAGTAATGCAATAAAATTTCATTTGTCATACTTTGAAACAGTAGTTTTAGCAGAAAAGATTTCTACTTGATGCTATTGTACATTCTTAAAAACGATTGTACTTTGACTTTCAAAACATGTATGAGCCTAGTATTGATACTTCTGTCTAGTTTTTCACGACTAAGTGGCATGTCGCTTTTGCAGAGACAGGCACACTGTGGAGGGTAATGCACCTCCGACTACTGAAAAAGAAACTGCTTCTGCAGTAAGCAAGATGAAGCTCACGATGTCTAAACTGATAGAGGAGTTTGACTCTCTTTCTCAAATTGTAAGTGGACTCAGCACTCAACTGGATCAGCAATGTCAAATGACCCTCAAGATCGAAAAAGACATGTTGCGTTGGACCACTAAGCTTTCATACTTCAAGGCTACAAACAAAACATACAAATTTCACTGTATCCTTTGAAGGCATCATTTTCTTTTATTTTTCTCCTTGTTTTATATTACTGTCCATCATGGCGTACTATATTTTTATTTGGCCGTTCTTTTCCTTGACTAATGCATGTTAGTTGAGAGAGCAAAAGCTTGCCTTCATCAGATGACTGAAAGGGAGCAGGTTAGCATTAATAGACAAGGATACATTGTAGCCGACAAATTGTCCACCATACTTGCCCCTCGCATTGAAAATCTTATCGCTGTTGAATTCAAGAAAAGTGTTGCTCCTGGTAAGTGGTACTTTTCATTTTTGAAGCGAATATACAGGTGCACTGAAATGAGTTTAAACTGCTATATTTTTTAATGCTTTTAACGTAAATTTTTCTGTAGTAGGTATTAATGGAGAAAAAATCAATTTCATTGAATTTTAAAGTTCATTCCAAAATCTTCTTGTCAATGTCACTAGGCATCACTGATTTGGAAGTGTTCTCTTGTGTTTTGGCCATATTGTCTCCACAAAATTTGCTAAAACTTGTGCCTGGCCTCCCTCAAGCATCAGTATAGTTCATTTTTACTTAGAAATAAGTAGGCCTTTGTAGGTGCTGTCATAATCTATGACGTCCCAGTGAACCGATGCGGGAACTTCAGGGTGGTGTTGCAACTTGCATTTTCTTATTCCACATTTTTTCATATAACCAGGCTTGTCCCAACTAGGGTTGCATTTTGTGAAATTTTCCACTGTTTTTATGAAGTCACCAATGATTACTGGAAAAAACATGGACACCAGAGCTTCGACTCAGAGTAGGAATGCACAATGGTGCCGCAATAGTATAATTTTTTTTAGCAAGGAAAATTCATATAAGTTGCCAAGTTGGCTTCTTTTTATTTCGTACTGTACTGCTCGTCATTTTTTTTTTTTTTGCTGATCAATGTGACTGTGTCGAAATCTGTCGATGCATGAGAAACTGTTGCTAAGTATAATTTTTGTGATTGGACAGACCTCTGCTAGTGGTATAACTAGCCTGTTTAGAATCGCAGAAATGCAGCCTTAATAGTTGTGTTTATTCACAACTGTGCTTTAGCACTACAAATTGCAAGCCAATATATCCTGTGTAGCTTTTTATTGCTAAAAACTTCACAATGAAGCGAACACTCAGCATGTGAATTCTGCACATTTTGTAAATGCCTTGTTAATAATTCTCTTCCCACATGATTTTTTTCAGCTGTTCGTAAGCTTGTCGAATCTACAAAGCACGAGATTAAAAGGAAGACCAACAAAACTGAAACTCTTGTACAGACTTGTATTAGAAATAGATTCAGGAGCAAGGTTGGTATATTTGTGCATAAAGTAATGAAACAAATTTTTTATGGACTTCGTATTGAAAATAGGTTTTCCATGCTAAATTAGGCATGCTCACGAAATAAGACAAATTAAAACATTTTATGCTCTTTAGGTATGTGTTCAACTGGTGTAACTTTGTTTTATTATTTGGCAAAATTGGTCAGGCTTCATTTGCTTTGTAGGTTAGTGTCTTACTCATTTGTCTTGGGTGACAAAGGTAGGGGGTGGGTGCACTTCTGGCACTGCGAGCTTTTTTTTTTTCAAGACGCATATGCAGTTTCATGTATCTAAGGCGAAAAGAAAGTAGGATTAAGGCCTGCAAAGAGCATGTATCTGCCATTTCGTTTTACGGCTTAGTAAACTCTTTTTTTACTATGAAAAAAGTGAGAAAATGGACATTTTTTATGAAATACCTAGGAAGAAATTTTTCCAGTTTGAAGAATCCTCCAGTTGCAATTGCAGCATACCAAATTATGCATAATATGACACCCTTTCCAAAAAATATAATATGCATAGAAGGAAATCTATTATAGAACATAATAAAAATTTGAAACTAATTTTTGCTGCCAGTTGGTGAACACAATAAAAAACACTGCTCATATAAAAATTCAAAATAAATAATGTTCTGGATATACATAAATGACTAAGAAATCGTACAGAAGTAACGAATTCTCTATAGAATGCTGCTCTTAACATCCATAAAAAAAATCTGAAACTAGGTACTGCTTTATTGCTCATGCCATGCAATAAAGCATTTTGTAATTTCATTGAGGCCCAAGTGAGCTCATGCTCTTTTTGCTCAAAATTTTAGTTTTTCAAATTGTGTGGATGTGTCAATGCAGATGAATGCACAGATTGTAAACAATGCCCATATAAATCAGAAGTCAAAGGAACTTTATCAATTTTTTTGGTGTAATTTTTTTTCATAAGCCACCTCTGTGTACCTAGGTTAGCATTCGTGAGTATGAATTCAAGCATATTTATTTGTATTTTTCCAGATTGTATTGCTCACTTCAGCAGTGTAAAAAATAATGAAACTATGGACAGTCTTAAAACATTTTGTACCACTCCATAGTGGAGGGCCTAGATGTGCTCCGGGCAGCCTTAGTGATGTGAAGAGATGTTCACAGCTGATAGGAACACCTCGTGCCTGAGAAACGTGGTCATTGCACCTAACCAGAGTAGCACTAAGGTTGCCCACAAAGGTTGGCAGTCATGCATGGCGGCGGGGACTACTAGGTGTCATTAACAAAACCAACTACTGAACAGCTGCGTACTTTTGGTAGAATAAGAATTCCCAGTCTCCAAATAACGGCTCTCTCATGAATATCTGGCATGAACTTTAGGTAATTATTTCCAGACAAGATTGATACAAGACTAGAAAGAGTTTATTTGGTAAGGGAACTTTGATGGTGGTGAAGTATAAATACAAATGGCCAGCATTTCTCTCAAGTGCATCAGCCATGCTTGCTTTCCAAACAACACACACACATTGGTTCACTAAAAGGCCTGCCGAAAATCAATGTCAGAAAGTGCAGCGTCTGGACTAATCACCAGGAGGAGCTGAATGAAGGAGAAATAAATGTGATATGCTGAAATTTTCGAGTGACAGCACCGATCAGCTTTGCAATTTGAATATAGGCATGGTAACAAAAGAGCTAAAACAAAATGTTGAATGGCTAAGTAAAAGCTAGGACACTTGCAAGAAGCTGTCCTGCCCATGTTGCTGCCAGCTCATACATTCTGCAATGAATCATGTTGTCTCAATGCTCACATTGTCACAGTTATGTTGGAAGGGGCCATGTGTTCATAGAGAACAGTGAAGAAAGCACGTTTCACTGGATTGTTAATTTTGATTGGTGGAGCTGAAGTAACAGGTGCAAATTAAAATTCATGCTTTTATGTGCATGAGTCTTGCAGTCTGTACAAGTGGAGCTTTTGCAACTTCCATTTGTTTTACAACTGGTGCCAATATGAGAGGAGGAGGGGATGCTGCCGGGCTGTGGTGCCACCCCAGTTTCGAAATTCTTCCTGGCATTGCGATCACATGGTCGTGAAAAAGAAAAGGTGGGGGGGGGGGAGGATTTCAAGTAAAATTTTTGGGAAGATTTACATGTGGCATCATAGTGTTTGTTGTCAGTAGCAGCTCATATCAGGAAACAAAACTTTCTTTGTAAATTACTACACCAGTGCTTAGTGTGTAGTTGTATGGCATTCCTGTCGGGTATGAACTGTGTTTTACTGTACCGGAGTCTTTCATATTAAGTATTCTGTTTAGTCAGACTGGATTTATTATATGTAGCTTTCATGTGCCAGTAGTACTAGTACTGTGGAGTTTACTGCTACACACATTTTTCACATTGGTCTACACTAGCATACAAGATTCATTGTGTAAATGTCTGTTACAATTCGTCCAGATTGTTTCCTTAGTAAGAGCCGTGAATCACGTTTACCATAATTTTTCAAGTGTGTGTGACCCATAACACATAGGTTAACCTGCCTTGTTGTTTCCTTTTGGTTATCTTTAGTATGATGTGCATAGTTTCTGCTTCTAATGAAATGTCAATCTTTCACTGAATATGTTTTCTTGTCATGTAGGCAATGGCTGGTACACTGACTCGGACCATCAATCCCTCACTTCGCGTAAAGATAAATGATGTGTGCCGAGAAGTTTTGCAGAACAACTTCATTCGAAAAATAGACCTTGTTTGTCGGGACATATCCTTGCAGCTCTCAAAGACATTTGATCAGGGTCTTAAAGAGAGTAAGTATTACGATTCTCAATGTAACTTCAGCTTGTATGGCTTAGAAGAGCCTTTAAATACATTTCTAACAGTGTAATAACCTCACCAATGAATAGCCTTTCAAATATTTTTAGAATCACTTCTAGCATAAATGGAGTTATAGGTAGTTATTGCACCCTGATCAGCTTTCTCTGTTCATCTTCACAAATGCTGTGGCAGCAGAATGAGGAGGACTTTTTTCTAGCCACATTAGTTATGTCCTTCACCAAGCCCCAACTAGACATGTTCTTGTGGTACATAAAGATAATGTCAAGGGGGTGGTGCCCTGTCCAAAAGTTGTGCTATCCCCGTGCATCATGACCTGTTGCATTTTCACATATTTTCTCTTAATAAAGGCATTGCTACAGTTCAGGCATGAAACACTCTGGGTATGTTGGGCAGTTTAGTGTTGCTATGCACTCACATTAACTTACCCACTGAGATTTCAGAGCTCATATTTATCAGAACATTTCTCCAGTGAGATTATGTTAAGAGAGTTTATTGTGGCACTAGTGATAGTTACCATGCTTACAATTAGTATCAAAAGCATAAGCACAGAACTATTGTGCATTTGCTAGTTGCACAACAGAATGGAGTGGTAGCTTCTGTTAGGATGCTCCAGTCAAGCCAATGTACATGAGTATGAGATGAAAACTGGCCTTCCCTTGTGCCAGCTTAATCAACAGTCAGTAACCAAATCCATATTGCTCATTTTTATGCACTTTAAATTGGTGCAATATGTAGTAATACATGTGGCCAGTGCAAAGCAAGTGAAGGAGAGCTAGCATGTGTTGGCAAATGTGCAAATGCTGTGAAACGCAAATGATAGTACTGTTAAAGCACACGAGGCAAGTGATTGGTTAAGACACATAGTCTTTGAAAGTGCATGCAGTGATAGGAGTTTTATGTCCCAAATCACGCTATAATTATGAGGAATGCCGTAGTGGGAAACAGCAGAAATTTCGGCCACCTTGGATTTCTTAATGTGTGCCCAAGTATAAGTATACGGTCCTCTTGAGAAAGTGCATGCAAATAGTAGTATTTGGTGCCATCTTATATGATTGTGGGAACAGTGCATGACACCGATGACAGTCAGTTAACACTGCGAGAACATGGACAAAATGTTTCTTTCATTTTGAGCTTGTGGACACAATTTTCGTTTAGTAACTAAGAATTAGCAGAAACACTACTACTGAGAGTTTTTGCAACCAAGGAATTGGCCAGTATTTGCCGGGCCCATTTGTCAAGTAATCAGTTCTATGACATTGTGAAAGGGGGAGGGAGTAATATTTTTGCCACTTTTGCACGACATGGTGAATTCCTCACTACAGACAGTTCAATAGTAGTTGGTCCTTGTGTTTTTCAAAAGGGTCACTTACACACCTCCAATATATTTTTTAATGTATTCAAAAGGTACTGCAGTGCTGATCTCCTGTGTAAACTGTATGAGTCTAGGTATGGTGCAGGCATTTGTGCTTGTGTGCTTGCACATTGTGCATGTACAGTGCTGTGTGATTGAAACATGGCATCAGATTTTTTACTATAATGACTGGTATACTCAGTTGGTCAAAATAAGTGTCAAGTTGTTGTGAATCTGGTTGCTAAAGATAATGTTGACTCTTAAAAATCAAGTGGTATGTAAGAACCATTGACATTAAAAAACAAAAATCAGCTATGCATTTCAAAGATCCATAACCCATGAATAGTCTCTGAAGAAATACACTTTTTTCACTGTCCTTTTCTGGATACAAAAAAAAAAGTAAAGGCCAGGACTAGCTGATTGGCTACACTTTGAAGGGAATCTTTTGCTTGCTATTGTAAGACATAGGTACAAAAATATTTATGAGAACGAACAAAAAATAATGCCAAAGAAAGTGTAGCATATATTACTAGTAGTAACTGTAATATAAATGTGAAAAACAGTGGATAAACAGATAACTTCCCACTGGTACGAACCAAAACTGTGACCTTCGAATAACGTGTTTGATGTTGTACCAACTGAGCTACACTAGCGGTCATCTCCCCTATCCTGTTTATTAGGTATACATATGTGCATTTAAGCCTGGGGTATATATACCATTAAGGCAATAGTCACATGTCCCGCTAAATAGGGAGAGAATCGCCAGGCTAATTCCGAGAGCTGATGTATCAGCCCTCTGAACTGCACCACTAATGCAAGGACAATTTAGTGTTGGTCTTTTTGGCGTTTCAGCAAACGCTGGCTGTGGTCTAAAGAACAAGACAGAGCCGAGAGTTGATAACAAAACCAAAAATATATTCTCAGATAAGGCAGAACAATCAACAAACAAACATGCACACTCGGCAGTTATCAATACGACACCTCTCAGAAATTACTCCTATAAATTCAAAACAACGGGCACAATAAACAACTTGGGCTACATTGCAATCTCATGCATTAACTATCCAAGCACACTTATGGACTAGAAAGTTCGTCAAACAAAATTAGTCTAATGTTCTTGGAACAAAGCTTGAATGTTCTCTTCCAGGCAACACTCACTCAAAGTCCAGCGTCAGTTGTCGTCCCGCTGCATCCGAAGTTTCTCTTCCAGAAAATTCTTTTATTTTCAACTGACCGCGTTTCAATAACAAAAACTTCTTCGCCGAAAACACATTGGCCATTCATGCGCTGCTACTGAAGAATACGTATTCGCTCACTGGCGGTAAACACGCATTCTTCTCCTGCTAGTAAGACAAGCCTTCGCCCGCAGGTGGAAAACACGCTACATCTCCTGATCGCCTCCGTCCGCTGCTCGGTTCTATACATCTGTCCTGGGTTCTCGAAGTTTCGTAGGTGCAATGCACAGCCAAAGTTGGGGAAGGGGTGGGACCTTTCTCGAAAACTCCGCGACTCGTGACGCAACTAAAGACTCGCCCCTTTCGATATTTCTAGAGATCGCTAGGCGATAGATGAGGAGGTTGGTCGGCATGATGGCAGCATCTTGTATCGCGTCTGCTTGGCGCCTGGTTTTGACGTAGCTATTAGAAATCGGAGGCGCGCTTTCTTGAGCACTCGTTTGCGATAGCGATGCTATACCAACTGAACTACACTGGTGGTCATCACTCCCTATTCTCTTTATTAGATGTATACGTATTTATGCCTGCGGTATATATACCCTCGAGGCGCAACATCTATAGATGCTGCGTCTCAAGATGCATTGGCTTTACAATGTGTACATTGTTTTTGCCAGTTTTTTTTACCGGTGGAAAAGGAAGCGCAAGATACAATGCATTTCAACAATGCATCATTTGAACAAGATACAATGCATCATTTGAACCTTCTGCATAGTCAACATGTCTTGACTTACCACAATGGTCTGATTATGACTGCAGCCAATCACTTTCGTGAAAGCACTGCGATGTTTGACGAGTCACTCGACGTGTTGCCTTCCAGGACCAACGTCATAAGTATATTGTTTTTCTTTGCTCGAAATGAACACAGTTGAAAACAAATTGCGTGTTTAGAGCCCAAAATTTCTTTCTTTTTGTTTAAAAATCGAACATGAATGGCTGCTGAATAAATAAATATTTAAATACTATGTGTATCTAAATTAAGATAAATTATCAAGGATTTCAAAAAATAACATATAACTTAATTTTCTTTCATGTAATATATTATTGAGTGGCTTGGAATTGTGTTTATGTAAAATTTAGATGTTTGCAGACGGCGCATCATAATTAGCACCTGAATGGTATATGTGCATTTAAACGATGGCTGCTAGCGGCACTAAGATACACTCTCAGATTTAAATGCACATATATACACACTCTTCGTCATGGCTACTAGCAGCACTGACTTAAAATCTCGGGTTTAAATGCACATATATACCCCATAAAGGTAGACAGGGGAATGACAGTCACTGTAGCTTAATTGGTACAGCCTCAGATGCATTATTCGAAGATAGCTGTTCTGTCCCTGCCAGCGGCAAGTTATCATTTTGTCCACACTTTTTTTTCACATTTACATCACAATTATTAGTAATAACGTTCCGTATACCTTCTTTGGCATTATTATCTGTTCTCATTAATATTACGTCCTGCAAATAAAATTAGTCCTTAAATTAGAAGACTGTAGGATTGAGTGTGTTGGTATAACATGATTAAGTGAAATCAGGATAATCGACACGAAGGGACGGCAAACAGGACAGAATCTCTTTCCTTTGTTCATAGCTGCAAAAATGTCCTTTGGGAGGCTTGAGGCCCTAATAACTTCTTCAAATTTTTTTTCTTTTGACATCTATGCCTCATTCTCAAGCAGCTGTTGCTGGGAAGCTGCAGATGAAAGTAAAGGTTACAAAAGTGGCCGTTTGTGTGACGTTCTGGCATCAATTGGTTGCTGGTCACATTTCTGAAATTATGCAAAACTGTTGAAAAGTACACATACAAAGATTAATTGATGAATAGGGGATAGAAAGGAGACTGCCCAAGGCTATAAATGAAACTTTCTGGTGAACAGCCATAGACAGTTATAACGAAGTGTGCTCACTGATTGTGTTTTCTATGCAGTTTAACTGTTACTTTTGTAAGAGGCACTCTTGCAAGAGACGATTGGGCTTAACAGACACCAGTGTGTGTAGTTGATCAAGAAATGATAATGTGCTACCCTGTCTACAAGGGACAGGAACTGCTGCCTGGTGTGGGCCTCTTACAAAGAGGTTGAGGAGGAAGAAAAGTTGGGGGAGTAGGCTTTGCACTGTTCTATTGCATCATGTAGGGGGGTTTCAACTGTAGCATATATATGTGCCAGCCACAGGATCAGGTGGAGGCATGTTTGTTTTTATTTTTAATGAGCTAATAAAGTGTGGCCAGCTAAGCTGTTTGACATTTCGAGCTGTTGCCTGTGTTTTGCCATGCTATAGTATACTTTAGTATAATGTGGGAAGCGGTCACCCGACATCATTGACTAAGAATGACAAGCTTGTATGTTGTTGGACATTCAGTATGCAAGTGGACACAATAAAAGAGTGAAAGTTGGGAGTAGGAAACAAAATAAGCTGTTTATAAGTCGACCCTCGTTAATTCAAACTCGAAGGGACCTCTGAATTTTGTTTGAATTAGCAGAACTTCTCACGTATATGACTGTGAAGGTGACATCACACATTTTGATTAGGCATTGATTTTATCAGATTAAAAAATTTCTTAAGCAATTGTGAAACCCAACTGCACACAATGAACAGAAAGCAGAGGTGTGACGTGTACAAGTTTACCAGCCTATTACTGCTGATCTGACCTTTTAAAGAAATCGTGAATTGCCTACTGCTTCTTTGCTATAGTATGTGCCTTCAGGACAAAGCTCTCTACATCAGTTAGGAAGCATCACGGTTTACCATGCGTGTGCTTCGTTTCAAACATTTGTTTACTAGCAAAGCATTTTTCCTTGAAAGCCTGAGGTGCTTATTTTTCATTTTTAGACTGTTAGGATTGTATAAGCATGCAAATTTTTAAATAGTAGTCAGAAAGCAGCAGATGTGTTCTGATATGGAACCACAAAAAGTACGAATTAACCAAATCACGGAGTTTGAATTAAGAGGCTTTTAAATACATTGAAAAAATAGAAGGCCAACTAAAAAATTTAATTATGTTTGAATTAACCAAAAGTGTGAATTATCAGAGTTCGAATTATCGTGAGTCTACTGTATAGAGCCCAATTTCAAGGGCTGTTTATTGTTAGACACAATCAAATGAATAATGTTTCCAGTACGTGATTATTTTTATTGTTAACCTGTCAACGATAACATTTTTAAAATAAGAATTTATAATATTAGAGGCATAGTACAGTGGTTATACACATCTTATTTATACAGCACCTCTAAGTAAATATGCCAATGAAAACGGTAATTTCATATTTTTTTTTTAATGTGGGCCATTATAACATTACACTATGCCACATTGTTTTCTTATTTTCTTCTTTCCACATTTGTTGTTAGCTGTTTGATTGGTTTAAATTTTCAGAGTAACGCACTTAGCAACTGCTTGCAACGGGCTGCAAGGAATGGCCAGAAAATTATCCTTCATGTAAAGACCAGTTAGTGCCACGGCCACAGAAAAATGAAGAGCATTAACTAGTATTTTAAGTATGCCATTGGCCATCGGTTCTTTGACATTTGCTAAAATTTTCAATGTGCTATAAAATTGCTGTTTGTTACGCAGCGTCATAAATCTGTAAAACCTTATCCATTAAAATGGCATGTGCACATTAAACAGTGCATTCATATGCTAAAACTTTTTTTTAGTATAGCTGAATAGCATCTCCTCCTGAATGTAATTCAGGAAGGCTGTCTGCTGATCCATTGGCAACGGCTATGTATAGCAGCTGGCGAAATGAATCCATCTGAGTGTAATATAATAAATATTTTCTATTGTAGTATGAGCTGATTGTGCTTACATGAAACTCTTTGAACTCATTCTTGCTGAGAGTAAAGTTGAGCAGCGCTGCTGTGTGTGCTGCTTTGCCATCTGATTTGTGTTGTAAAAGTCCATTCAAGATTAGTCAGCATCAACTAGTCCAGCTGTTAATTTTGTCTCTTCTGTCCGGAAAACCGTGGTCCTTGACCATCTACCTGATCTGGTAGATCAGGCTGAGGGGCAAGCTTGCCTTCCTAATGTGCTCGAGTCCACTGCCTTGTTTGTCCACTGTCTAACTTTTCTAAAAGACTCAATGACTTCCTGCCCCTCTCTTCCCCTGCCTCGGGTACATATGCCTATGGGTTAGTATGAAAAAAAGGTTTTTACAGATTTGAAATAGGGTAAGAAATGAAAGGTAACATGTGCTAGCATTCCCATAATTTTTGACTGACTTGGGCATTTCAAAGTGCTCAGTGATTATTTTTTCTTTTACAGTTCTTCAAGAAATTCAGAAGGACATTGTGGAGGATAGTCGAGGTCACGCTGAGAAGGCTTTGAAGAATATAGATTCAAATCTTCATTCCAGGCTACAGGCATTTTTTTAGCGACCACAAAGCCAACCTGATAACACCAGATATGGAAGCTCGATTTCATGAAGCTGTGAGAAAGAGTGTGGCCAACTTTTAAGTCTGGAGTTATAGAGGCAGTAGCTGCGTGAGTTCACTTCTTGTGTATCTACAAAGCAAGCTCTGAAGAGATAAAATGATAGTTTTGCATCTGTGTATGATGAAAAACTTAATTGCCATGAAAACTTTTTTTTCATTCCTGTGGTCCACAGGCAGAACACATTTTTTGTGGACAGTCTGACAGAAGCGGTGTATGGTGCAGTGAAAGAGGCTGTTGGTGCAGATGTATCTGAAAGAATGCAAAGTTGCTTCAAGGTTAATGCATCGCTTCTTGACCCCCATGTGGTGTTGCACGAGATCAAATTCTTAGTGCAGCAGGGCCAGTATAATATGGCTTTCTCGCAGGTGAGTCCAGCCACATTAGTGGTAGCTTTGTAACAAATTAATAATTGTAATAATTTCGAAAAATGAATGGTTTCACAGCTTGTCTTGAAACATGGTAAAGCTCTGTGGTTAAATTTCTTAAAGGGTCATGGAAAAACTGATCACACATTTGAAATTTTTCAGGCATTGACTTTCAGTGCACAAAACTAAGTAAAGAAAGATGACAGGAGAGAACAACACAGGTTTATTATACAGCTAGAAAAAATATTGCTCTAACATGGAGCAGCCAAATCTGAAACCTGCCAGTGCAAGCATGCAATAAGCTCTCTTCTGGAAGCCTACATGTGCACGCTGTCCAACTAGTGGCCAACTGAGCAGTTGGCCACCTGGATAAGTGCCGCTAACCCATGATGGGCTGCAGGCTCTTGCCATGTTTGCCCTGTGTTTAGATTTGGTGCATCTAACGTCAAGAGTTGCTGTGGCATTTTTGAGAGGTAGGGAACATGTAGGATCATTGCTGTCATTGTCGTTTCTTTGGTGATATGTTCAGTAAATACTTCAGAGAAGAATAAAAGGTCGTGACCAAATTCATGGGTTAGATCATTGAATGAGCATATGATATAGTACATTAAAAGTAGAGTGCATTGCAAAAAAAGCCAATAATCCACAGGTGGCTCTCCAGGAAAGCTTCAGGTGTGTAGTAGATACCAAGCCACAAATGCATGTCTTGTCGAGCCTGAATTGTTTACTGTTTAGTGCCATCGAACCTGGTGTCTTAAGGAATTAATGTTAGCTTTTCTCACGACTGTGCTTTATGCTACAGGTCTTACTCAACCTCTAGAGTATTTGCTCAGTGAAAACTCAACATATTGAAACCATATTTCATTATGTAGAAATTTTTTAAACGAAGGTTTTGGTGTTTTACCTGTAAAAAAAAATGCCATAGTTTCCTATGTCGCTCCTAGTGATGGTATTTCATCAGTAGTTATCTATACATTGCAAGAAGGTAGTACCTAACTGTGTAGTTTGAAATGGTGGTACCTGTGGCACATGTAGTGCTTATGGCCAAGCATTAGTGCAATGCACACCATCCAATCAATTTGTGTGACTTATACTATAGCCACAGATGCTTGATGCAATATTTAATGGCACCTAGCATTCACACTCATTTCAGACAGTGGCCACATGTTAAAGGAACAACGAAAAGCTCAATACAATTTATTCCTCCCACAAAAACAAAGGGCAGGCTTTCAGATGGAGATAATTTTATATAGAGCATTCCAATTCATCTTCAATATCAGCGAGCTTCATCTGTCATTTTTATAATCACTGGCATTTTGTCTTGTTCATAAGCCGACGCAGCAGTTAATGCCTGTTCTTTTGAGTATGTGCCTGTATACCGGTACATGACATCAAAGCACTCGTAACCTCAACTTGTCCCAAGTGCACCAACTGTCAACTTGACTTAGTCACCAGAGTAGTCATCTGGCATATGCACTTTTCCCTTACATTCTCAGTTACACTAGCATTAATACAGTGCCTGTGCTTTTACTACTAGAGTCCTGTGTGGGTGACCTCATGCCCCAAGGCCACGGCAGATGGCACAGTATTGTTTCCCGCATGTGTGATTCGGATGAACAAATTTCGATTGCTGATGGAACATTTCATGTGAAAGGACGTGTTGAGGAGTCTTCTGTGTCGCCTGACTTTCTTGAAATTTTTGCAGAATTTTGCTAGCCACAGAGGCTTTAAGCAGTTGAAAGCTTTTTTAAATCAAGACTGTTTGATGAAATCGCTTTATTATGTTATTGAAGGAAAGAAGGGTAAATTTAAGGGCTAGTTTTTCTTTGTTAGACACAATATTAAGGAGAACTTGCAGACAAATATGCCAAGGGAAGTATAGGGGATGCTATCAGAAGTAATTGTAATCTAATTGTGAAGAAAAAAAAGTGGACGAAAAGATAACCTGTCATGGGCAGTGACCGAACCTAAAACCTTTGAATAACGCGTCCCATGCTCTATCCGTTGTTGTGCTTTCAAAGTCATTCCACCAACATGCCATAAAGATGGCTATGTGGAAATTAGTTTTTAGTATACCTATGATTGGGAAATGAAAGTACATTAAAATCGTGGATTATAATACATTAAGATTTGATTATATTGTTATGAGTGATTGTGTTCAAAGTCCACAAATTGGCACAATCATCAATGGCGAGCACGAGGAAACAAGGCCCAATAACATTTTTCTTAAGTGCGTTACTGAAGTTCAGCTCGGCTAAACTGTACTAAGAACCCACACAAAAACGTGAAGAGTTTACGCACACAAACATTTTGATATGCGGGGCCAAGCAGTCATTTTGAGACACGTAAAACATGTTCCAGCTGTCATGAATGGTACCTTCCGTCAATGGAGAGGGCAACATGGTACGAACAACAATCCCACCACTACCACAATCTAGAATGGAGCCACATTCACACAAAAAATCTATACCTGGAATGACGTCGTGGATTGCGCGTGCAAGCACCGTTAGTTCATCTCTAAATGTTTGATTTCCTACAGAAATTAAAACGGAGCAAACACCAACCGGGCTCAACATTTCTCCCCCTACGCCGCGGAACGTAGCACTCCAAAATCAAGCAAATGTTACTTTCGTCCCAAGGTGATTTCTAAAAGACATGCTCATTATAGAAACTGCAGCACGGGTATCGACTAATGCAACAGTACTCACATCGTCTACAAAAACACTCACTTTGTTCTCAACCATTACAACACAAGGGGGTCGTACGGAAGATGATTTTGCGGCCTTACCCCCCTCGGTCGCAGCCATAGAGGAAGGAAAATTTGTTGTTTTTCCTTCCTCCTTGGTCGCACCAGCTAATTTCCCAGTGGTGGTGGCATACCCGAGCGGTGACGCGGGGACGGGGATCGCTGTTGGCGTGCGGGTGGTGCGGTAACGCTGCGGTCGGAGCAAGGCGAGTCAGCACATTCTGCGTCTTGCCATTGGAAAGAGCTCTAAAATGATGGAGACTTGCGAGCAGGCACATATAGTACGTACACGTTGAATCGTGGAGCTCGCTGCTGGCGACGGTAACAGTACCTAGTGATGTGTCCAGGTAGCCTGCAGTTGTAGCAAGTACGGGTGTCGTGTCTAGTCGTCTACAGCGAGGTAGACCTCATTGGTTGAAAAAAGCCGGGAGATGGCGGCTGAGGAGTAAATCGCCGTGATGCAGCTTGCCTGCGTTCTTGGTTTTCGAGTGGCCGTTCACTCCTTCATTCGAACCGATCGGTGTAATTCGGGTGAGGCTCAAAGTAGCTCGGACGCATCCGAGGTACCGGTGGTTATGGGGGCGTTGGTCGAATGCACAGTGGTGGCAGACACCGGCGGTGTCCACAGCTTGCAGTAGAGCAAGTTCTTGCTTAACCACTCGTCTTATAATCGAAGAGATGCTGTCCTGCGATGGAAGGTTGACACTTGCAATCATGGGCGCATTGTCAAGACGTTCAAATTTCAGTAGGATTCTCCTACTCTTTAGCGCTTCAAACACTCGGCAGTGTTTGAAGCGCTAAACAGTGTTTTCTTAGGCCGGAAGGTGTGCGTAGGTCTTCATTAGTGATAAGAAAATTGTACACGTCTTACGTGATTCACTTGAGGAGATTACCTGCCTTATCTTCGTCAGACATGGGCGCACTCGCGATTTCGCACAGCTTCAACGACGGCCTCAATGTAGGTGGTGCATGTTTTGCCAGGTAACTGAGCTCTGTGTGAAAGCGTTTGCTCCGCCTCCTTGACCTTAGCAGTCGAGTCACCAAAACACATCTTCAGCTCGTCCACAAAAATGTCCCATGTGGTCAATGCACTCTTGTGGTTGTCGAACCAAAGAGTTGCGGTGCCAACGAAAAAAAACACCACGTTCTCGAGCTGCTTAGCAGTGCTCCAGCGGTTGCTGTGACTCACTTTTTGGTAGTGCTTGAGCCAATCCTCCACATCGTCATCCGGCTGCCCCAAAAAGGTCCTTGGTTGACGTTTCGGCGTGCCGCAGCCAGCTTGTCCTGGCGAGTGAGCGTGTTGCTCATCAGTGGCGAGGTTGTTGTGGCCTGCTCCTGCATCCTCCATGTCTGGTAGCTGCGGTGGCATGCCCGCCAAGCGTCTTCTCCATCGCGAAATCAGTAGAGCTGGGTCATCCAGATCGATGTACCCCACACCTCCACCAAACTGTTACGAGTGATTGTGTTTATTTACAGATGAGGTGAAATGGCGTTGGGAAAGAGCAGCGTACTTCTGAGACAGGCCTAGTTTGGTTCATCCAACCACACAGTCCAAGCGCCGGCTCCACTACTCTTCTTCCCCACCCCGTACGTTTGCGCATCTTCATTGCAATATTCTGCTACAGTTGCTTACTGATAATCCAGATTCAACAAAAACTGCTGGAATGTCTAAAGGAATTATTGGGAGTTGGAAATGCTAGAGTCAGGAAAAATTCTCAGCTTATTCTACAAATGTTCAAAAAGTGTGTGTTGTACTCTCAAGTCATTGCTTCCAAGTATTTTTCCGTATGTTAATATCTAGACAAGCAATTGAAGGCAGGGAGTACCAAGTGGCGCCCTCAATGCTATCCGTAGTTAAAAACACTACAAGGTAAACATGGACTAGCACTATGCATCTTGTTCGTGCTTACCCTGCACTGTTTTTAAACTATGGATACGTGCTAACTGGCTCGCATTTGCAGGCTTTTAAATTGCTTTCAATGACAGTTTGTGCGCGAACCTGACAGCCTTGTTTAAACTAGGTCGTGGGATTGAATTCCAACTGCGACGGCTGAATTTCAGAGGCGAACATACTTAAGCCTATGTACTTCTATTTAGATGCACATTAAAAATTTCTGGTGGTCGAAATTTTTGGAGCCCTCCACTACAAGGTCTCTCATAATTGTAGGACTGATTTGGGATGTTAAATCCTAACAGTTAATTAATTAGCCTTTTTCACAGTGACCAGTTGTCTGATAATGCAGTAAAGGCATTAACATACTTGTGATGGGCAAGCGAGAGCTGGCAAAACAAGAAGGCTATATTTAAAGACAAGATACCAGAATTTGTGCTTAGCACTCATGGGTTACCATGAGTAGAGCACCTAAAATTCTAAATGCAGCCAACAACATAATTGAATTTTACAGATGCAAGGAGCTGAGCAGTGTGGTGAGATGGATACTTAGAGAGCCTTGTTGCACTTGTGAAGCCTTTTGAGATTGAGCTGGTGGTGCCAAATCACTAGGCCTCCATTACAAGTTAAAATTTTTAATGATATCGCTTTGAGAAGTGTCACCAGTTCACTAACAAGCCAGTCAAAGACTAAGTGAGAATTGTAAACCTTGCAAAAGAACTGCAACATTAGTAAAGGTAATGCTTTTGGGACGTTGCATGGACATGTGAAAGTTCAGTCTAAAACGGTAAGTGTAAAAGTTCCTCTGAAAGTTATGCTACAAGGCAGGTTGTTATGTGGAATCCACAGTTTTCATATTCAGCAATGGTGGCCCGCCAAAAATTATGGTAATGTTTGTAAATTTGTACAAGCTTTCCCTAACAGCTGAATAATCAACAAAGGCAAATTTAAAGAGTCAACAACAGCTAAAATACTTTCAGGTCTGTTCGTGAGTGCTCTAATGCAGTTCACCTCAGTGCTTCTGATGTTTAGCATATCTTGAACAAATAAATACTCTGGGTAATTTTTGCGGCAATAAAGGCCATATTGAGCCAGTTTAAGCAGTGTTAACCACACAGTCTTCAAGTAAGCTATCACCTAGAAAAGTAAGGTGAAGCCTGAGAGGAACAGACAGATGGCCTTCTTACAGTACTTCACACGTGACCAGTGTGGCAGTGTGGCTTTCTGGTCGGCTGCTCAAAATGAGCAACACTCTGGAACAGCATTCTCTATGATTTAGCTGTGACATAATAATGCCCAGGTACAAAGAAAATGCAATCTCGCATTACAGGTGTGGTTGAAAAAAGGCTTAGAGATTTTAGGCTCCACACTCATATTTGCCTGTTATGTGTGTGACGAAGATGATTAGAAAAGCTGATATTTAATATTTGTTCATATGTGCAGCAATCTCACTGAAACAATAGCCTACATTAGCCAAGTTCTTTATGCTCTTGCTGAATTCAGTCACAAAGTCTTTTAGAATGCCATAAAATGTTGTTTGTATTATGTAATGCTCTATATTGCAAACACTACATACTCCATACCCAAAGCATCATTGAACCAGTCTTCATGTCTGTCTGCGTGACATGAATGGTAGTTTTAAGGAAGAATGTATGATAATAATTTCGAAAAGGAATAGATCTCTACAACTGTGCAGTGACTGCATGCAGCAGCATGGTAAATCCAAGTGCCAAGTTACTGGCATATCTTGAGCTGCTTTATGCTCTTGTTAAGGGCAGGTATTTTCAAGGATTAAGGTAATGACTACGTATTCTCCCACGAACTATGTATTGAGCAAAGAACATAATTAGATCAGGCTGGCTGATGGTGATGAAGTAGATAAGTTACTGGCACAAAGTAGTTACAGCCTACCATAGTGGCAAGCTTTTATAAAATACCGTTGCCAATTATGTCAGTCTAGCTTCATTACACATACTTTCATTAGGGGACACATTAACCCTTTGCGGTCCGTTGTGGGGGCGCTACGGGCAGTGCAAGAAGACTACAGCGGCTCGTGGTCGGGCACTGCTCGGCAAGTTGTTTTGTGGTTGATTCACGTGTGTGTTTTCTCACTGCACGAGGTGTAATCTCCTAAGGAATCAGTCAGCTTCTGCTGTTTGAGTTTCGTTTTGTTTAGTTTGACTACGGAAAGGATGGAAGGTGGGTAAAAGTTTTAGGCTGCAAAGGGTTTGAGAACCCAAGGAGGTCAAAATTAATCTGCAGTTTCTTCCACTTATGATCTCCTTATTATACTAATCATATTAAATTTTGGCATATAAGACCTCTAATTATATCACAAGAAAGAACTTACAATAAAAAAATCTCAGCTCCATTACTTTATTAAACACACTTTAATACAAAGCGCAACGACCACCACATGCTTTGCAACATCTTTGGCTGTCTGTGGTTAACATTAACACTAATTATTCACTAGGTATCTCATTATTGTTTTATTTATTTTTTATTGTGTTTTGTATTAATCATAAAACACATATTTTTTGCTTCAATGAAAGATTGAAACAATGGATTAGTAACTATATACATCTAAATAATACCACATAAGAAGTGAAATTTCACTCCAGTGTTTATTCAACAACATGCATTTTCTCATCCAGGCTCTGTCAGCGGCTGACCCATTCTTTGTTGTGTCAACATGTGAGATGGTGTGTCCTACCATCACCATTGGGAAGGATCCATGTCCTCTAGAAACACCAGTGCTGCTCTCACTTATCGGGAAGTTGAGTGAAGACCTTGCAACCAAAACTACAATCAAGATAAAGTGAGTATTGTTAACTGTTTGGAATTTTTCGCTAAGGTGATTACTACTTTTTTGCTAGATTGAGCATGGTAAACTGTCTGATTTTTTTTTACTGAGGTGATTACTTCTCTTGTAGATTTTCTATTTTGTGAGTATATAGTGGAAATGTATCCTAAAAATGCTATGAATTTCTTTCTGTCACACTCATTGCTACACCTTTGTGGCGGAACCGCGATTCCCCCTTTTTTTTTTCACTCAATGCAAAAGACAAAAATGTTGTGGCTTGTTATGCATGCACATTGACCATTTTTCAGTATTGCTGATGATGCTTCCAAAGAGACACTGATAAAAATTACCAAAAATTTTTGCAATCACTTGTTAGTGAAGATGAACAAGGTGGGAGGGCTACAAAGAACAGTGCAAGATATCAGTCAGCTCATTCTAATAGCCATACTTGTATATAGATGATAAAAAAGTAAAATGCAAAGTAATGTAGACTTAGCATTACTTGCCACAATTCTCCAATTAGTACTTTCTTGGACCTGTAATTGTTATCTGTAATAAGTTACATTTATAAAAAAATAGGTATAGTTGGTTAATTTTTTTTGTCATGTGCACAAGTCGGGCTGACATCAATTTAGGTATTTTTCTTTTAGCATTCTGACTCCCTTTAAATTTATTTGACCCTTCTTGTATTGGTTGACTATGCCCTCACCATTTAAGAAAAAAATCTTATGTACTCTAAATTTCTGCAAAAGCCTGTTGAGTCTTTCAAACACTTTGTAGTTAAGAGACATTGTGGTAGTATGCCCCCTTCGGACCTTCTGGTGTAATGGTGACTTTCACTGTGTAAGGTATATGTTGCTTTATATTTGCTGGCAGATACCTGGAGGCAGCGGTGCTCAGCCTCGTTAAAGGAGGCCCCGCCTCACAGTCCTCTGAAAAATGTGCCCTCACGCGGCTGTTCAACAAGATCGAAGAACTGCTGAAGCAAAACCCTCCCCATGACATGGAGCGCATGGCCAAGCATCTCAATCTAGTTATTCAAAGCTCTCTTTGCTGCTAGCTTTCAGTACCTTTGTATGGCATCTGGGGAAACCAAAGTGTTCCTCCTTGATGGAGGACTTGTGTCTTAAGTTTTTATAGTGTGCTGTGCCTGGCAAGTGGGCTTCATCGAAGTATCCATAAGAACTGTGCATTAACTATGGCAGAAGTTCAACTATTACTGTAGGCCTTAACTTTTCTCCGAGTGTTTTGAAGACCACTGCCTTCGTCACCCCCGTTTTCTAGTGGAAAGGAAGAGAAGAAAAGCTGTATAGTTTCCTATTTCCACATCATACTTGTTCACATTTCTGAGCATGAAACAGCCTGCACTGTACTTATTGATTGTATTATCCAAGACCTGTAGGCAATATTACCTGTAGTATTCAGTGCATCAAATTTTGCTTTTGGCAGTATTCCCTCTGCTCGCCCAGTTTGTATGGATTGATATTATAAGTTTAATACTAGAGTTAAAACTAGGCTCTACTGATTCCTCTGTAAAAGCGTATACTGCAGTCAGCTTTCCAAAGCCAGACTCTTGGCAGGTAATATCCTGAGCTGTTGCATGTTGCTCAAGAGAAATAATGCCCGCTTTTTTATGGCTATATTTTCACTACTTCTTTGCGCAGCATTTCTATTCTCTCCTCCTTACTTGGGTTTCCAGTTAAAGTATGTTTAATCTCAACTATCAATTTAACACAATTCTTAGAATTCTTTTTGCTTCACAGTAACACTTGTGTTTTGCTCGACATTTGTTGTATTGCTAACTGAGAGCCCTTTTTCATTTGCTTTGTTTTTGTAGACTGAACTGAAATAAAGTTTTTATATTTTTATTGGTTTGATGTAGACTGGGTAGTTTGTAGTAGCAGAGATCTCAAATAGCAATTGAGTGATGATTGTATGGGTATTACAAGCTCCACCTTGTAATGTCTCATCAGACGGTTAATATATGCATGATTTATACCAAATTTGGGAGAATTTGCATTTTGCATTGAAAGTAGGAGCAAGCAGATTAAGTCAAAACATATTAGACCTGACATTTCTGTACATTGATTGATATGTGGGGTTTAATGTACCAAAACCACCATATGATTATGAGAGACTCTGTAGTGGAGGACTCCGGAAATTTCGACCACCTGGGGTTCTTTAACGTGCACCCAAATCTCAGCACACAGGCCTACAACATTTCCGCCTCCATCGTAAATGCAGCCGCCACAGCCGGTATTCGATCCCGAGACCTGCGGGATATTTCTATACAATACGAGCCCTTAAATGTACACTTTCTTGCATTTACGGGGCAATACAATACAATAGGGCAGTGTAATGTGCTTAGATATTTGCGTTGTTTGCTAGAAAGGTTCACTGAAGTGTTTTCTCTAAATGAAAAGTTATGTATCAACATTGAATAACATTGCAGCAGCTAGTGCATGCTTTTGTACTTCCTGAAGCGTTTTTGCTTCCAAAGCATTGATAGTACTCAAAGCAGCATTACACTGCTTGTGTGGTGCGAGAATTCAGGCTAGCCCACCGCCTTTGTGCGGGTTTTGCCGCCTTTTCTGCCGGTCTAATGTCCCGACATGACTCCCCTCCTCCGCTGTCTGCCGCGCTGGGAGAGCGAGGAGTGGCGCTTAACCTCTCACCCGGTAGCGGATGTCGACTGTGGCGCCGCGCGCGGGGTGTCTCGGGACGTTTCGCGTGCGCGCATCGGGAGTGAGTCAGATTTTTCCGGGACAGCTGACGGTAAGCACACTTTCCCTTTTCCGTCCGTCGACTCCCGTTGTTTGTGGCTCGTCGGAGTTCGCTGACAGCGCCTCGCACCCGAGGTGAACGCTCACCTTTTGTTGCCCCTTTGCGTAGGCTCGGCCGAAGAGCGGTACGGTGTCCTAGTGCGTGGCCAAGCTACGCCGACCCGTATTTCTCCGAAGCCAACGCGAGTGCTTTTGCCCTCGCTCGAGCAACCGGGCCTTGGTCCCGGTGTCTCCGTGAATCACTTTTACCACGGAGACGTGCTCGCGGCACCTTGTGTAGTACTTCCCGCCTAACGTATCCCCCGCCACATAAATCTCTCTCCAGAAGTGACCAGGCTTTGTGGCGCAGACTTCAAACGGCCACAGTGACGACTCCTTTTCTTCTCTCCCTTTTCACACATGGTGAGACCTCACCTCATTGCAACTTATGTCTTAGCACCAGAGCCGACTTCCAGTACATATTTCTGAATTGTCCAAACAAACCCAAGCCTCCGTGGCAAGGGTCAGAACACCAGGAGCGATGGGAGGCTGCTCTGCGCAGCTCGCAACCGGGTTTACAGCTCCGGACAGTGAGCTGGGCCAGAAGGGTCGCCGAAGCACAGCATTGTCCGGCCACCTAGAGCGGCCCGAGGGCTCGTCGTCATCCTGGTTCCACTTCCCCTACCACACCCCCCTCAAATGACTCCTTCGTGAATCAATAAAGTTGATTACCTACCTACCTCTCGCCCGTGGCGTGGATAGGCCCATTTGCTTTCCCGCCGCGCCTTTGCAACGGGCTGTACTGAGTTTATGTTGTTGCCACAGACAATGAAGTGTTGCAACCTTGAGCAGTATCGTGTTCTCGCCACGGCGACGGTTAACGCGTGCCCTGTGGCTCGCTAAGACGGGACCCACGCTAGTGGCCGTTCTCCTTCGGGATACGTGTCACTACAGTAGGTAGATTCAAAAAGTGGTTTTTCATTATTTCTTACAACATTAAAAATTAATGTTTAGCGTAAAGAGCTCAGGTAGGTATTTTAAAGGTACAAGGTTAAAACGCTAAAGGGAGAACAACCGATAATGACAATTTGTACACTGCTGCTTCATGGAAGGCATGCACGGGATCGCGCGGTTTTGGGCAAGGTTCCGTTTGGTGTCACAGAACTTAGTTACCAGACTAGGGCACCAGTGTTGCAAGACTGCCGCCTAATCTAGGTCAATATGTGCTCGTAGTTTTAGCTTTCCTGTAATGTTTTCTCATCGGCTATCGCTGTTTTTCAAGTGTACATGATGTGCCCGTAACCTACATGCCGCTTCAAGGTTCTCAATATTCTCCCAGCGTTTGTGCTGTGCCTGTGTCACTATGTGCCCCTCCGGGGTTAATGCTCCAATGGTACACAGAGGGGGGGGGGGGTGTAATCTCCTCCCCCAGAGGCCGACCTAACACCCTCCCGAATGTCCTTGTCACTGAGCCCCCTATATGTCAGTAGCGCACCGAGAGGGGGGAAGGGTTTTCACGGGTTATAACCCCCAGAAACCGACTGCCCCCCCCCCCGCCCCTTCCGTGAGTGTAGCATGGTTGTTGGTTTAGAATCCAACGTTGTTGTACCACAGACATGTTCCTCGTTCGGGAGCACGTCTCACAAGATCGAGCCCTGTTTCGACGAACTGTCTCCCCCCCCCCCCCCCTCCCAGCGCCGCCTTCTGTGCAGGAGAACCGTGCAGTCCGGGGATAACGTCGTTTCCTCCGCCGAACCACTTTGCAGTTCCGGGTATGGCTACGTCTCCCCCACCGAGCCCGAGAACTGGTCTGAGAGAATGGACCAAAGACGCTATTTAAGGCCGAGCCGGCCCCATGTTAGAAGATTTTGCCCCAGCCGACGTTGTCGTGCTGGACGGCTATGTACAAACGACAACCTGCTACAGTAAACACTACTTTTGTTGCTGTTTTCCAAGCGGATTGCCTCCCTGTTTCACCTTCGGGCTAAGGCTTCATCGAAGCCCGCTCGACTGCTCACCGCTCTTCGCCACCGCTACCATCGCGACAGAGAAAATTCCTAACAGTGGTTGGCAGCTTCGGGATACGATATCTTACGTTTGGCACGCCGGATCAGACCCCTGTCTTCAACGTTTTACTGCTCTGGGACTCGCTACCCCGATCTCAACGGCTGAAAAGTTGGATCGGATCTCTGAGCACGAGGACGACCGCCGTGATAGCGTTTGGCTACGCTGCGATACGCTACCCTGTTCTCATCGTTCGGCAAGCTGGGACAAGCAACCCCGGATCTCAACATTGGCAAGTTGGACCGGATCCCGGAAGGCCTGATACTGTTCGACGGCAGCCACGAGTTGGACCATCGTCGGCTACTTTGGTTGGGCGAGTGCCCAACGTTTACTGTTCATTTCGCCAGACCTCTCTAGCACAGGCAGATGTTAGGAGAGCGTTTTGGGTTTTGTTGGTTGTAATTTATTATTCACGTGCTCTAGACCATGAGATTAGCTTTGGAGTACGGTGAATATCAATAGCAGAGCATCACGAGGAACGAGATCGCGATGGAGCAGTACCTGGTGCAGGACCTCCTGGAAATTTGTGAAGCCATGGGGATTTCCGCCGGGTCCGCTAAAACAAGGGAAGCGATTCTCGATGTGATGCGGGCCGAAAATGTGACTGCCGATGAGGCTGACGAGTTTTGGGAGCTCGTTTGCGAGCAAAGCCGCGAAGAGCTCGAAGCTCAAAGGCACGAAAAGTGGCAAGCCGAGGAGAGCAGAAGAAGGACAGAGCATGCTCTCAAAATGAGAGAGCTTGACCTTAAAATTCAAGCCCTTAAGTGGGAGCGAGCGAAACACCAGCTCCACAACTTTCAGGCAGGCGAGAACATCGCCCATTTTCTTGAGGACTTTGAAGTTGTCTGCTGTGATGTTGGTGTTAGCCGTGACCTTTGGGTTGAGAAGCTCGCCACGTTGTTGCCGCGCAAGATAGCGCATGTTTTGAATTGCTTACCCTTCGAGGAAGCAGGAGACTTCAGTCATGTTAGATATGCCTTGATAAGATATTTTTTTCTTTCAAGTCATGCTGACGAGGAAAGTCGGAGCGATGAAGACAAGGCTGAAGCGCCACGAAGGGCGCTAAAGGATGACGCCCGCCGAAAAGAGCGTGAGGATGATGCGCGCCGTAAAGCGATGGAGGCTGAGGTTCGTCGCGCAGCGCTGGATGATGGCGCTCGCCGGAAAGTTTTAGATCATGAGCACAGAAGGAAAGCGCAAGAGGCGGAGGCCCATCGCAAAGCGCGGGACGCCAACGTGCGTCAGAGAGAGCGAGATGAGGCGCGGCGTAAGGCGATGGAGGTGGAAGCGCATAAAGATAAGGCATGCCGAAAAGCTATGGAGGCTGAGGCCCGTCGCGAAGCACAAGCCGCCGAAGTGCACCGGAGAGAGCATGACGCTGAGGTGCACCGCGAGGAGTTAGGGGCCGAGGCTCATCGCATAGCTAAGGACGCCGAGGTACATCAGAAGGCACTAGAGATGGAGCCGCTTCGCAGCGCAAATGATCGAGATGAGTCGCGTACAAGGGAGCTTGACAACGAGTCGCGTCGCAGGGCGCTAGAGGTTGACGCCTGCCGACAGGAGCTTGAGCAGGATGCGCGACATAAAGCGCTACAGAGTAAAGCTCGAAAAAGAGAGCATGAGGCCGACTTCGAAGGCAAGAGAAAAAGGGCTATCCACGACAGCGATAGACCCCCACCGATTGAAAGCTCTGTAAGCGCCTTTGTTAGCCTTAAATTAATCGGGCCTCCCGTTACGCCACAGGCAGAGACCGCTAGCACCGGGCGCCAGGAAACGCTAGCCAACAAATTGGGAACTTCGACTCCCCACAAAGATAAGTTGCTTCAGCCGCATAGAGTTTTGGCAGAGCCTGTCGAAGGCAGTGCGCTTCTAAATAAGTGTGTCGGGGCTTCCACAATTCCTAGCCATTCGAAGAGAAAAAAGCGTCGGCAAAAGCGTAGCGCGGAAGAGACGAGAGGCATCAAACATGTTAAAGGAGCTGTTAAGTGCTGTGACGCCTTCATTCGATACGCCAGGTTCAGGGCTAGGCGTAAGATCGCGAA